AGGGTGGGGGGGTGGTGGAGGAGGGTGGGGGGTGGTGGAGAGGGTAGGAGGGTGGTGGAGAGGGTGGGGGGGTAGAGAGGGTAGGGGTGGTGGAGAGGGTGGGGCAGGAAGTGGGTAGGGGGGTGGAGGTGGTGGAGAGGGTGGGGGTGGTGGAGAGGGTGGGGGGTGGTGGAGAGGGCAGAAGGTGGTGGAGAGGGTGGGGAGGTGGTGGAGGGTAGTGTGGAGAAGGTAGGGGTGGGTGGAGAGGGTGGGGTGGTGGGAGAGGGGTAGGGGTGGTGGAGAGGGTGGGGGTGGTGGAGAGGTGGGGTGGTGGAGAGGGTGGGGGGTGGTGGAGAGGGTAGGGGATGGTGGAGAGGGTAGAGGGGTGGTGGAGAGGCTGGGGATAGTGGAGAGACAAGGAGTAGGACGAGGAGTAAGACTTGATTTGTAGGAAAAGGAAGACTCGATGGATAGGAGGAGGAGGAGGAGGAGGAGGAGGAAGAAGAATCGGTGAGCATGAGAATGAAGAAGACTCATCGGACGGGAGGAGGAGGACCCACGGGCTAGACTCTAGCCGCTAGAGGAAGGTGTACGCTTGCCATTCACAGCACGGCGGGGACGTAACTCATCCTCAGCAGTGCCACCAAATGTTCCCTCCATTTGTTCTCCTGGTCGCCTCTCTCTATTATTCTCCTCCTTGCTGCTGCTTCCTCTATTTTCACAACCCAATTATACTTCCTCCGTGGTATCATGTTTATTTTTTATGATCTGAAATAGAAATACGTTTTTATATTGAGGGAATGTTTTTAAATCGGTGCCCGTGAGTGAGCAACGGGCGACGTGGCCAACAATGGGACGGATAATCTAAGCAAGACTGCCTCGGACTACACTTAATTGATAGTCGCGAGGACCCTGCACCTCTCTCCTCGGGACCTCTGCCCCGCTCTGCCCCTTTCAGGACCTCTGCTGCACTGCTCAAGAGCTCTGCTGACCCACTCTGTCCGGCTCAGTCCCTTTGCTGCCGTGATCTGCCTTGTTAGTCCCCCTGCTGCTCCTCTCCTTGTCCTACTTTGTCATGTTCTGCTGCCCCTTCCCCGCCTTGTTGAGGACCTCTGCTTGATTTAGTCCTCACCCTTGTGCTGTCTCTATCAAGACCTTTAACCTTAACCTTTATCCCCTCATCACACTGTCCTAGCCACAGTTACACGAGTGTCGTTACCTTAACCCAGGGCCGCCGAGGGCTGACCAGGGCCTCGGGGAATGATAAATTTACGGGACCGCTTTACAGATATATTTAATATTCCCAAGCCCTACAGGCCGGGCCCCAGGGGGGCTTACCCCAGCATCCCCACCCTGTCGACGGCCCTGCCTGACCCATGCAGTACATGAGATGAGTAGCTGGAGGACCTCACTATGCAGCACATGTCTACCTCACTCATGATAACACACACGGTGTTTATAGTGAGTGTGTCTTGCCTTGGCCCGTATTCGTGTCGTCTGCAGCCATACGCCTGTACAGCTTGCAACACATCACACCGGTACACGACCATACACGGTGTTTGTACTGTAATCATACAACAATTCACATCCCTTGTACTTACTCTGTCTACAACCATACACAACCCATGTAATATCTTCATTTACAACCAATCACAACGTTAGCACCTACCTCACCTGCTACCATACACAATCCTTCTCATTAACTATAACCATTCACAAGCTCTGTAGTTTTCCCCCTCTTAGGTTAAAACAGTCAGATAATGAAGAGTGTTGTAGGAGCCACGACCCCGCTCCCACTATTGGCGTCGTAAGATGATATCACACCATAATCAGGGCTCATTCCTCGCCTTCATCCCGGGGAAAATATTTGACCATTGGGAAGACGAACACTGCACTGATTCCTATTTCTCTTCCAATCAACAGTTCAAGGCTAAACTCTTGGTGATTTTTGGAGTCGTGGTGTGGAATTTTTTGGAGCTGATTTGTGGGGTTTTATTTATTTTTTTATTTTTTTCTTGAATTATGAGTTTTATTCTAAGTTTCTGTAATAGTATTTGATTCTGTTAGTTACTGTTGTCAAGAATTTGCGGTGTTTTAACTATAAGTGGAATTACGTGAAGATTAGCCACCCTTAGCTTATTTCTCCTGAGGATTAAATACCCTAACACTACCTTGGGGGATTTAGCTTAGATTAGATAAGATTAGGTTACATTTAGCTGAGATTAGATTAGCTTAGCATTGGGGTGTTTAATCATCAGGTGAAATAAGCTAAGGTGCCTAATAATCAGTAATGGAATATTAATTTTATGAGGGAGTGTTTGGGCAGCTTGTATGACCGTGGGAGTGTAGGGGTGGCAGGTGAGGTGAGGAGCGGTGTTGTGTATGTGTGTTGGTGACTGGGAGAAACACATACACACACACATACCTGATTTTGTCGAAGGTGAGAGAGTATGTTATTTTTTTCTGTGAGTGAGTGAGAGAGTGTGTGTGTGTGTAAATGAGTGAGTGAGCAGGGTGTGTGTGTGTGTATGTGTGTGTGTATGAGAAGGTATGGGAAGATTTTTTTTTTGTGGGAGAATTTACGGAGGGTAATGGTGATGGGGAGGCTGCAGGGGGAGGTAGAGGAGGAGGAGGAGACGACACACCCACCCTAGCCCACGACATGACCCCTTGACCCCCAGCTGACCCACCATTATCTGCAACATTAGCCACTAATTATCTCTCTTACAAGGGCCAATATTACTTAGCAAATTAGACACCAGGGTGACATTAAGGCCATCTCATCCCAAGCGTATGGGCTCGTGGTCTCACCCAAGTGATTTTACCTTAATGGAGAAAGTCTAAATTATGTGACCTGTCGTGTGACCTGGGATGACTTGGGGGTCGTACTCCTCAACACGTCGCTTAGACCACCAGAGGGACGTTTTTTTTAACGGGGGTTTACCTGGTCACTGCTTGAGTTTACCTGTGGTCTACGGAGCATCTTGGTGTCGTCGTCTTAAGGGAGATGAAAGCGTTTAGTGATTTGTTGTTCTTTATTTAATTTACTAGTAAGGTTGGCTAGTGTGGTTGGCTAGTGTGGTTGGCTCGTGTGGTTGGCTCGTGTGGTTGGCTCGTGTGGTTGGCTAGTGTGGTTGGCTCGTGTGGTTGGCTCGTGTGGTTGGCTAGTGTGGTTGGCTCGTGTGGTTGGCTCGTGTGGTTTGTATTGTGTGGTTTTTATTAGTCTAGAGACGTCATTCTGTCTACAGGTACAGACAGACAGGTACAGGTACAGACAGACACAGATACAGGTACAGGTACAGACAGGTACAGGTACAATTACAGGTACAGACACAGGTACAGACAGACACAGGTACAGCTACAGGTAATACATATATTTCAAAAATATAACATTAGCCACAGACACTACCCCATCTTAGAGCAATTAAAGACATAATAATTTTTTCTCACTTTGAAACAATTTATATTAGTATTTTTTTCAGTATTTCCTTATCAACGGTAATGGCGTATATATATTCTCCTGTTTTCCTTATCAGTCCTGTTGTTAGTGACCATCTCCTGTTTCCTTATCAACGGAAATAGCGCATATTGCCTCCTGTTAATGACGTACGATAATTACTTTAGTTTAATTCGATCGGAGAAAATATGTTGTTTACTTAGAACAAATTATTTTATTTTCACTGATAAATTACCGATGAAGTATTCATAGAGTTTGTGCCAATGATGTTTCTGGGGGTGAATTACTTGACTCAGTAGTTCTTTTAAAATTTGGTAAATAAAACTGATCAAAGCCTAACCTAACCTAACCTAACCTAACCTAACCTAACCTAACCTAACCTAACCTAAGCTAACCTAACCTAACCATGCACCTTAGGATGTTTTTTTTATTATTGTTATTAAATAAGTTAATGATTTATTTTTTTATTAAGCTAAGTTAAAGTTAGGTAAGCTTAGGTTAGGCTAGGTTGTGTTACGTTGGAGGTTAGTTTAGATTAGGTTAGGTTAGGTTAGATAAGGTTTGGTTAGGTTAGTCTAAAAAAAAATAAAAATAAAATATTTATTTAACATTTCTCACACCTGGTCTATTAACAACAGGTACAGTCAATTAACAACTACACAATAAAAAAAATTATCTCCCAAACTCCTCACGTTTATTGGGCGTAAGAAAAGTACATGATTATCTACCATTACATTTCGTGTCTCGACTATGGTTGGCATTAGTAGTTTTTTCTTCGTGTTTATGTACGTATATTTGTTGAATTTCGTTCTCGTTGTATTTTCCCGGCACTCGGGTGGTGTGTCGGGGGCGGGGCGAGGCGGGGCGGGGTGGGGTGGGGTGGGGCGGGATGGGGTGGGGTTGGGGGTGTAGAGGGGCAGGCTGACCACGGGGGTATTCTCTTCTCTCTGTCGTGGGAACCTTGCCCCGTGTCGGACATTCCTCTGACCCTTGCCACGCCTCGTACACTCCACGCCTCTTACACCCCCCACGCCTCCTCCTGTACTTACTTCTCCTGTATCTTCCTCCCACCGACTGTACCTCACACACTGTATCTCACACACCCTGTATCTCACACGCCCTGTATCTCACACGTCCTGTATCTCACACGCCCTGTATCTCACACGCCCTGTATCTCACAAGCCCTGTATCTCACACGCCCTGTATCTCACACGCCCTGTATCTCACACGCCCTGTATCTCACACACCCTGTATCTCACCTCCCTGCTGTACCTCCCACACCCTCTATCTCGCACCTTTACCACAATAAATATCATGTGATTGGTTCACCTGATGACATTTAGTGTTGTGTTACGCCGTTATTGATGTGGTGACACCCGTGACCTGTAATGGTTGTCTGTCGTTAATATGTATGGTGGCATCATGGTGGGTGTGGGCTACCAGTGGACCATGGTGGGTGTGGGCCACCAGTGGACCATGGTGGGTGTGGGCCACCAGTGGACCATGGCGGGTGTGGGCCACTAGTGGACCATGGAGGGTGTGGGCTACCAGTGGACCATGGAGGATGTGGGCTACCAGTGGACCATGGTGGGTGTGGGCCACCAGTGGACCATGGCGGGTGTGGGCCACTAGTGGACCATTGTGGGTGTGGGCCACTAGTGGACCATGGCGGGTGTGGGTCACTAGTGGACCATGGCGGGTGTGGGTCACTAGTGGACCATGGCGGGTGTGGGCCACTAGTGGACCATTGTGGGTGTGGGCCACTAGTGGACCATGGCGGGTGCGGGCCACTAGTGGACCATGGCGGGTGTGGGTCACTAGTGGACCATGGCGGGTGTGGGCCACTAGTGGACCATTGTGGGTGTGGGCCACTAGTGGACCATGGCGGGTGTGGGTCACTAGTGGACCATGGTGGGTGTGGGCCACTAGTGGACCATGGCGGGTGTGGGCCACTAGTGGACCATGGCGGGTGTGGGCCACTAGTGGACCATGGCGGGTGTGGGCCACTAGTGGACCATTGTGGGTGTGGGCCACTAGTGGACCATGGCGGGTGTGGGCCACTAGTGGACCATGGTGGGCGTGGGCCACTAGTGGACCATGGCGGGCGTGGGCCACCTACCACCACATTAGTCAGGTGTTATCAGGGTCATCTAGGGTCCCACAGACCAACTGCGAGCAACACAAGCCAAAAAACCTGCATTGTCGTCCATTATTCTAAACAAATATTTTCCCTCAGAGTCTCTTAAATCGCCTTCTTTACAACCCTCGCGCCCCGCCATTACCAAATTATTAGCCAGTCATTAGCTCAGTCGCCACAGGTCACGTCGTGGGAGCGAGGGTCCGCGCTGCCCAACACCCCCACCTTCCCCCGCCGACTGATGCTGTCTGCTCTGAGTTTATCCGGCTTTATTATACAATTTCCTGCAGTAATATTGTCCAAATCGACCCTGCGTGACCCATGAGTGACCCCGCCGTGACCCTGATGGTGGTGTGGCCGGGCTGGCGGTGCCGTGTCTTCACCACCACCGCGGGAACCGGATGCGTTGGCCGGCACATCCTTAGGTGTTGTGGGCGACCCGTAGCCGGCCCTCCAGTGACCTACTCTCACCTGGCGTGACCTAACGTGACCTACCACCACCCGTCATCACTGTAGTGTTGACCAGGGTACCACGCGTTGACCGGGGCGCCCCGTGTCTCATACTGTGTACACAACACAACGACCCGCCCCGACAGTTATTCCCCCGCTTGATTTTTATATGAAGACACTGATGAACCTTGTAGTGATGTTGTGTGTTACAACGGTTGTTCTTTATATATATATATATATATATAGTAAAACATTGTGGTGTTGATAGTGAAACAGGTATACACCCTTATAATTATCTTGCATCATGCGGGAGTGATATAATTAATAATTAATTAATATAATTGGATATGATAGAGAAAATGACTTCCCTGGGGACATCTCCTAAATGGCCTCACCAACACATCACAGTTCACATAAAAACTGTAATGCTCACCACAGGGTCCTTAATGATACTAATTAATACTAAGTTTATACGTTGACTGTTTCCTTCACCAGGTGTGTCTCGTCGTAGATCATCAGAGGAAATATATAACTTGTAAGATCAGTTTCCATGCTCGTATTTTTTTACACCACAATTGGAATTTTTTTTCAACTTTTGCCACAGAAGACGAGAAGTGGGAAAGTATTTGTTGTTAGTCCTGCAGTGCTTCCGCGTTACCTGTCCGGGTCACACACACACACACACACACACACACACACACACACACACACACACACACACACATCTCTTTCTGAAAGTTTTAACTAATGACTAACTTTACCTTGCACTGATTGTATCTTAATAACTTAATGACAGTTCTTTTGACTTAATAACCCAATCGTAATTTTGAGCACTCAATAACATAATTGTAGGTGTTGTAGGTTGTTAGTAACTGACTTGGCACTTTACAACCTTTCCAGCGCTCAGCTTACAGTGCCACTTAGATAAACGATACTCCCTTTGGACACCCGACGCCCCTTTTGGACACCTGGCGCCTCTTTTGGTCACCCGGTGCCCCTTTTGGACACCCGAAGCCTCTTTTGGACACCGGACGCCACTTTTGGACACCAGATGCTCCTTTTGGACACCCGGCACCCCTTTTTGGACACCCAGCGCCCCTTTTGGACACTCGACGCCTCTTTTGAACACCCAACGACCCTTTTGAACACCCAACGCCCCTTTTGGACACCCAACGTCCCTTTTGGACACCTGGCTCCCCTTTTGAACACCTGACGCCACTTTTGGAAACCTGGTGCTCCTTTTAGACACCCGGTACTCCTTTTGGACACCTGACACCTCATTTGGACACCCAACGACCATTTTGGACACCCAATGCCCATTTTGGACACCCGACGCCTCTTTTGGACACTCAACACCCCTTTTGGACACCAGATGCCTATTTTGGACACCCGACGCCTCTTTTGGACACTCAACACCCCTTTTGGAGACCAGATGCCCTAATAATCTCACCTGGGTAATGCCAGGTGGTATGGGGACCTTGGTGAACATACCTCGGCGTGTCAGTGGAGGAAGATGTTAGTCAAGACCCTCATACTCACACCACCATTCTAAGTGCCTGGAACACAACCTTGTTTTGGCCATGTTGTCGTAATAACCACGAGCTGTGTTGCAAGTCATGTCAATCAGCTAGCGAGTCGTTTAGCTGTCAAGGCGCCTCGCTGATAATTACCCTTAAATCAGATGCTTGTTATGATTGCAAAGGCTGACAGGCACCTCAATGCTCGTGTCTTGGGTGTTGAAGGTGCTGACAGCTGACGAACTCCAGTCTTGATATTACTTACTTGCGCAGACAGTGACTTAAGAACCTCGCTTTTGCATACATAGTTAGAAATATATTTTTTTTCTACGTCAAGAGCTGTTTATTTTAGTTCATCACAGTAATTAAGAAAGACAGTCCCACATTTTATAATAACAAACTTGAAATACGACACAGAATATAAAAACCCACTCTTGATCAAGTACAGTACTCATATGATCAATGCACAATACTCCATGTGATCAAGTACATCACCTTATGATCAAATACAGGTACCTCTCCCTGATCTTGTGAATTTCGAATAATCTATTTGCCTTTCCTCATGACCAAGGCACGACCAGTCTCAGCCTCACTAATGAACCGTTTATGTCGACCGCACGCCCTCGTTCAGCCCCCTGTGACCTAATCTAAACCTTTCCCCTCCCCCTCCCCCCCACCCCCACACTGGAGTCGATCAGCGGGTGACCTCGGGGATGGGGTGAGAGGGAGAGACAGCCCCCTCGGTGACCCCTATCTCACGGCAGCGTCACTTACCATCAGCACCAGCAACAAGGGTCGATTTAAGGTCACCCACAAGGTATATTTTCAGTGTTCATTATGTCCTTTCCGGAATATATATTTTTCTCTTTAAGACCTCGAGACTGGTATGACCTGTTGGAAGGCGGACCTGTTGAGCCGGGAAATCGGGTCATGGGGTAATATAAGAAACATTAAGAGCACAGCGAAAGGAAAATTTGAAATAGATTATGGGAAAAAAATACTAATAATGCGAGGTATTTTTCCTGGTGGTTGATATTGATAATGTAGATTCAACTACCTGGGTTATTTCTGCCCCTATTTTGACTTATGATAATCTTACAAGTTAGTAATTTAATGGTGATATTTACTAAGTTTTCTATCCGAGGGAAGCATTACCTCACACCCAGGTATATAAGGCAGGTGCGATGTCGTCCATTTAAGGGCAGTTTTAATACTGTTCCAAATCTTATTTTATGGGCTAGGAAAAACTGGCAGGCGATGCATACATTATATTTATTATATTTTGAGGGAATTTTCATATATAAAGCTTATAAAAATATATATAGAGTGTTTATTATAAGATACATATTAATTTTAGGTGAGGTTTTTCAATCGTATAAAGGTGGAGTTGTAATATAATATTCACTTATATTTGTTATTAAAAAGGTTCTTACGTTCATCACATTAAGGTGTTAAGGAATGATTTACCTGCGTTACCCCTGACAAATAGAGACTACTAATATGTAAGTCTGTTTTTTTTTCTTTTCTTATCTCAGTCACAGACACACATACTGACCATGGGGAATTGATCACTAAATTGAGTGTTGTGGTCCCAGTTAAGTTATACATTTTTTAGGATTTTTTTTTTTATTAATTTTATGTTTTATTAGTTTTTTTATTCATTATATTGTTGATAAATAATTTGTTGTGTTGGGGATACTCGTTAATCTATTGTTTGTCGGACGCCCGTTGAGAGGAACCCACTGTGGTATAGTGTTTGTCGTACGCCCGTTGAGAGGAACCCACTGTGGTATGGTGTCTCTGTCTCCTTTACTGTCTATGTCTGTGTGCCTGTCTACTACTCTGTCTGTGTATCTCTCTGTCTCTCTTTTACCACAGGTTTAAGTAACACTGAGGACACCATCTTCATCCTTCACCATTGTTTACACATTAGGTCTTGGCTGTAGTTGTGTCAAGCAATTTGGCTCCTTCCTGTTGTAAGTGATATTAAGCTCTACAGACGTTACATATTTCTTAGCTTAGTTTAAAAATAACAAGTGGGGAGATATGTACTCAAGGACGAGGTATAACAAATGTATTCATAGACGAGGCGTAGGACTAACACTCACAAGGACGAGGTCAGGTAATTACTCAAGGACGAGGTATAACATATGTATTCATAGACGAGGCGTGGGACTAACACTCACAAGGACGAGGTCAGGTAATTACTCAAGGACGAGGTATAACATATGTATTCATAGACGAGGCGTGGGACTAACACTCACAAGGACGAGGTCAGGTAATTACTCAAGGACGAGGTATAACAAATGTATTCATAGACGAGGCGTAACTAACACTCACAAGGACGAGGTCAGGTAATTACTCAAGGACGAGGTATAACATATGTATTCATAGACGAGGCGTGGGACTAACATTCACAAGGACGAGGTCCTCAAGGACGAGGTTAACATATGTATTCATAGACGAGGCGTGTAACACTCACAAGGACGAGGTCAGGTAATTACTCAAGGACGAGGTATAACAAATGTATTCATAGACGAGGCGTGGGACTAACACTCACAAGGACGAGGTCAGGTAATTACTCAAGGACGAGGTAGGGTAAATATATTCGAGGATAAAGTAGGAAATATGTACTTTAGAGGAAAGAGTTAATTTGGCAACGCTACTAATAAAGTCCCCTTCACTAGCGTGTTTACAGGGGCCCGTCATATAAACATTCCACATTTGTTTTAATATTGTTTTAATTTGATTCCATAGTTTGTTTACTATTGCGAGTTTTTTCTGTGGAATGTAAACAAACACAACGCTGCCACACTGCACAAAACTTGACGAGCCCCTGTAAACGCACAAGTGAAGGGGACTGTACATTCAGGAATATAATTTTACAGTAGTATATCCTGGAAAAAAAGATAGTTTGGCAGTGGTATATCCAGAAGAGACATATAGTTTGAGTTGTAATTTACCCTTTGATATAAAACTTGGAATGATAATCAAACTACTGTATATTCAAAAGATATAAGCACACACATACAATTTTAACTATAAGGTATATGGATAATAATAATGGAACAACTTTTAAAACTTAGATGTATTATAACTTCGATTAATAATAAG